GCCTTCTTTAAAATTCAATGCATATGTAAAGAAATATACGGTAACCCGAATTTACCACACTCGCAAAATCGCACACAGCCAACCATACACCCAGTATGGTATCGCGATTCGTGATTTTGCGCTATCATACTGGGTGTATGGTCGGCTGTGTGCGATTTTGCGAGTGTGGTAAAATCGCATAACAGCAAAATCGCATAACAGCCGAGCATACACCCAGCAGCGCTGCTGATGCCTGAACGGTATGTGGAATGAAGTGGGCGGGCATCGGGAGGCCACTATGGCACGGGGCAAGCACTATGGGCAGTCTATCTGAAGTGTACCCGGCGTATAAGACGACCCCCCACTTGGAGGCATATTTTTCAGGGCCAAAAAATCGTCTTATACGCCGGCAAATACGGTAACTTGTTTGGTTGATCTCACCCCATCCTCACCCCCACCCCATCTCCCCCTTCCCTCCGAGATCAGTCTTTTCCCACCCCCGGACCCCTGGCAACCACCTCCTATTCTATGTTTCTATGAGTGTAATGATTTGAGATTTCACACATAAGTGAGTTCAATGCAATACTATTTGTCTTCCTTTATCTGACTTAGAACGATGCCAAGGTCCCTCCACGTTGTTGCCAATGCAGGATGTCCTTTGTTTATGGCTGAGTAACATGACATTGTATATAATATCCATTCATCTATTGAGGGATACTCAGGGTGTTTCTGTCTTGGCTCTTGTGGAATATAGTGCGAGAAACATGTGAGTGCAGATATCTCTTCAGGGTAGTGATTTCCTTTCCTTTGGATATACACCCAGAAGTGGGATGCTGGGTCAAAAGATCATTTCCATATTTAACTTTTTGAGGAAATTCCATACAGTTTTCCAACAGTGGCTGCACCAGTCTGCATTCCCACCTGCAGTGGACATCCTCGCCAGCACTTGTCATTTGTTGATGGTAGCCATTCTGATACCTCATTGTTGTTTTAACTTGTATCTCTAATGATTAATGACATTGAGCATTTTCTCATATGTCTCTTGGCTTTTTGTATGTCCTCTTTGGAGAAGTGTCTATGTAGGTCCTTTGCCCATTTTTTAATTGGATTGTTTGTCTTTCGTTCAGTTGTATGAGTACTTCATTTTTTTTTCAGTTTCAAGGAAAATGATTTTTAATATAATAATGTTACATGCAATAAACCTTAATATCTCAAGAAAAGCCATTTTAAATATGTTACATTCAATAAACACAAATTATTAAAGAAAAATGATCTTACATATAATATTACATGCAATAAACATTAATATTTCAAGGAAAGGATTTTAAGTATAATAATATTATGAAAACTGTACTAACAGTATGCTATCACAAAAGTTGTCGGAAATATTAAAAATCTGCTAATAAGAGCATTACTTCTATTATATTCTAGTATTCTTTTTTCCCCTCTGGCTCTATTTTTGTTCATCAGTTTATGTTGTTCATTATATTCCACAAATGAGTGAGATCATATGATATTTATCCTTCTCCAACTGGCTTATTTCGCTTAGCCTGATGCTTTCAAAGTCTATTTTGTTGGATGTGAGTATTGCTACTCCAGCTATTTTTTTTTCTTTTCCACTTGCATGGGAAATTTTGTTTCCATCCCTTCACTTTCATCCTGTGTGTGTCTTTTGTTTTGAGGTGCGTCTCTTGTAGACAGCATATAGTTGGGTCATGTTTTTGTACCCCTTCCACTACCCTACACCTTTAAAAAAAAATAAATCTTTATTGTTCAGATTATTACAGTTGTTCCTCATTTTTCCCCCCTTA